GACTGCGGTTGCAGGCTGGGCTATTTTAGACGAGATGCAGCAAGCGCCTTCAGGATCTGATTTTGGAAAAATGTGGCAGAAAGTGTCCGCGGATGATCGGGCGGTAGTCAACAGCATTGACGCTGCCATCGAGCTCGTTCACACCGGAAACTATGGATTTATAAAAAATATAGTCGGCGTGGATTCGATTTTTCGCACAGACTATAAGCCGTGCAGACTGGCATTAGCTCCATTGAAAATATCAGCTAATAATTTGGGATGGATCGTACCTCAAAATAGTACAAATGAGGAAGGCTTCAATAAAGCTCTACGGTTGTACACGGAAAGTGGTCTCTTCAAGCGGCTCATCAATCAGTTTCCCTCGCTATTATATGGACCACCCGAATGCATGCAGGGCATAGACATTACAGTAGGCGCTCGGCGTCTTGACCTAGAAACTATGTCTGAAATCCTATTTATACTGCCAATTGGATTAGTACTATCCGTGGTGTGTCTTCTATTGGAGTTCATTGGAAAGAAGCTGAAAAGAAACGGTAGGCCTCAAGACCACAGTTGGCGAAGTAACATATAGACTCAATCACACACTATGGCTTGCTCTTACTAGGTACGATGTTTTTAACAAGGCCCAGCGCGATGCGTCTACATATATGCCTGTGTGGCATTGTAAATTTAGACTTACACCTTTTCTGCAAACGAAAGAACATTCCGATTAAAAGCAATTAAAACAGTGCGGAATATAATATTATTTAAATCTTGACTGTTGTTATATTTGTTTGATAAGTCGTATGAACATGTTTGCTAATTCGCGTATTTTGTGATTTAGTAAATTAGTTTAATAAATTTCATGTGTGAACGTTTAGCTGATTAATATGAGTTTGAGGCTATGACTGTATTATTTAGTCATCACTCGTAATTTTATTTCTACCATAGTGTGAACAGAATGTACTTGTTCCTGTTTTCTTGTGCTATATATCGTATGTGTTGGTTATTCATGTTACCCCTGTCACACCTTCCCGCGATCACGTTCGCGCTCCCACTGCGAGGGAAAGCGCAGTCTTTGAGAACGAGTTGGTAATTGGTTGAGACGCAGTGGAAATTGTCAAGGACGGAAGGGGGTCGTCATGAGCTACCTTGAACGCCAAACCTCGGCGCTTGTGTTGGTCCGAACCAAAACAAACGCTGCGAGTCGGCGCTCGATCTGTAATGAGCGGTGTAATGACGCAGTGCAGTCGCCGTGGCAGCGCAAAGCGATGACTACATGATCGTATCGTGGACGTAGCAACAACGCATAGAAGCGACTTGGGGTCGCAGAAATCGTCCCCTGCGACTGGTTTGCGACTGCTGTATGCTCATTGGGCTCTCCATACGTGCCTCTCCCGTTCTTATTGCGCCCGTTACAGGCATGGTATCATCCACGGATGCTAGAAGACGAAGACAAGGAAGTCGGCATTAGACTGCTGTGAAGCCACGTTTTGTGTTTGGCAAGTTTTGTCAGGATTTATGTGGCCTGTATGTGTTTGGAGGCTTTCGACCGGGAACGTGAAGTAAGCGTTTGAAAGATGTTCCTCAGTTGGGTTGGTGTGACACGCGTCGCGGAAAAAAAACTTCAGTTCCTGCTCGTTATTGAAATTAAATACACATAGGCGAATATGCGTGTTTGCCGTTTGGTGCTTTTTCTTCGGTGAGTCGTGTTCCATTATTGTAGTATGCTGTTACATTACAAAACAATAACAATAGTTCCTGTTCTCAACTCACAAACGTTTTAAGTAACTTGACAGCGAGGGTGAACAGTGATGGCGTCCGTAGCTACAGATAATAACTGGGGAGTGACTTTCTATTGTTCACGCAGACATGTGTCTGTTTACCCTTCTTTATATATCCAAACAAAGGACCCGCTACGGGAAACCTAACCATGTGCACATCACGAGAACGTACAAGAAGTGAGATAATACATCAGGCGCAAATGTGATCGACTCGCGTATAGCTTTATTGACGAGTTGTCATGAAGAATATACTGTTTTGTGGTGCAATCTGTCTGTGACGTGGAATTAGCTTATCACGCAACACAGCACGAGGGAGATCGGGACCCAAACGACATCGGCGCGATACGCTTACTAGATGCATTGTCCCAAACTGAGTCATATATCCCTACGTTACCTGCTCGTCTACGCTCTGTTGGCGTCAACCTGTGCGCTAAGCAAGCGCGATTCATCGACTTCTTGAATATTCCGTCCCACATAATCAGTGTAACATGTGTTTTGCACGTGTTACGTGAATTAGTCAGCGAGGCTAGACTAGGGTTGTTTGGTGACCAATTAGTCTGTGTAGACGCAGCGTCGCGCATATTGGGCGGCATATATGGGGGTACTATGGTAATGCTGCAGCAGGATGTCACGACTACGGGATCTCATTCTGACTGCAGTTGAAGAATAGGTGATTTTGGAAGAACACTGGAGAAACGGATGGGAGAACACTAATAAGCAGTGAGCATAAGCAGTGAGATTACGGTGGACGTATGTAGTATGTTATATTTTAACCGATATAAGATCGGCCGAAAAGCATCGTGTTGGGTGGCTACGGCGACGATGCGATCCGGCCGCAATTATACCAAGGGTACACTAGCAAAGGCAGGGGAGTGGCGGGATTCTGCGACCGAAGTGAAATTCATTACGAATATGTTTCCCGAAAATGTAACGATTGGCAATTATCGAGATACAAGCTGAATTTCTGGCAATTTCGATTACCGGTTTCATGACAATTACATGTTAGTCGGCAGCATCTCTATAGAGATTACACAACGCTTGTGTGGTATTCCTACTGCGAGCCATCGTCTATCATTTATTTTAATATAAAGCGATTATAATAAACCACCGTTATTAACGAGCAATTATAATTAACTGCCATGATTAACGAGCGATTACAATTAGCTGCCATCATTAACGAGCGATTATAATTAACCACCATAATTAACGAGTGATTATAATTAACTGCCATCATTAACGTGCGATTAGCCTAAGCACCATAATTAACGTGCGAGTGTAATTAACCACCATCATTAACTCGCGATTCTAATTAACTCGCGTAATTAACGTATTTAGCATTTTATTTGACGTTTATATCTAAGGCACGTAGTTAACGCGCGTATTTAACGTATTTAACTTTTATTAACGTGCATATTTATAATTAACGGCGAAACCACCATTATATCGTTGCGAGAGTTTTGCGTGTAATGATCATTTCTGTGGAGCGGAATACATCGTCACTGTGCTTCCCCATGTTCCTAGCTTTCCTCGCTATGGAAACATACCTATGAGCAAACAGCGAGCATGTGCAAAGTGAAATGACACATTGGATGTAAATACGACTCGTCTACTGCTTTTAACGTTATTGGCGATGCTTTTAGCGAAATATGCTGCCGTGCAATCTGTCTGCAATTCTCAAGCTACGCAAGAACTCAGGGCCGTAGCCTCTGGGGGCAAGGGGGGCAGCTGCCTCTAGATTTTGAAGCAAATTTAAAAAATAAGCTTAGCTAATAATCGTAAAGAACACTAACGAGATTTTTTTGGTCACTTATCTGTGACAGCCTTGTATCAGACCCACCCCTACCACACTATATGGACGTCGATCAAGAGCTGCGCCCGTCGCTCATCATTACACAGTTGAGTCATGAAATCTTGCCCCCCCCCCCCTAGGAATTTGCTCAGCCTACGGCCCTGCTGGAACTTATACCCCGTACAGACTGCAACTTTG